CCCTTCCCCCCCTCCTCCCCCTCCTCTTCCATGTGGGGCTGTCTCTCACACATGGCCACCTCCGTCCTTGCCTTGCCCTCAGGGTCTCCACGCTTCCCTTACGTCTCTCGGGCACCCCTCCCCAATCCACCTGTGTCCTTCTGGCGATGGCTGGAGCTGTCCCAGCATCCTTGGGGGGTCGAGGACACAGCAGGCTGAGCGGGACTCCAGGCGGAGTGGAGCACTCTCTGCCCTGCCCGTTCTCAGTGGGCACAGCCGGCCCTGCTCTATGCCCAGGGACCACAGGCCCCTCGCCCAGCATAACTGGTGCCTTGAAGATTCATCCTGGTCCCTCAGCCTGGAAGTCCTTGTTGCTTTTTGGAGGGAGGGACCACCGAGCCAGGGCCGGAGGATCTCTGCGTCTGGGAACGCTCGCTCCCCTGCGCCACGGGCAGGGTTGGTGTCTGGCACGCCGTGGTTCCCTCAGTTCCGGCCCCCCAGGCGCGCTCTGGGGCAGGTGGGGGCCTCCGGGGTGCGGCTCAGCTCCTGGGGCTCCTCTCTGACACCCTGCAGACAGCACGGCCGCCCCCGCAGCACCTCCCAGGTGTGTCCCGCAGGCGTCACTTCTCATTGCCTTGCCCGGCACAGATGGGCCACATCTCTGTGCCAGGGTCACACTGAGCGACTGCAGGGTCCCACCAGGTGGGACTGTGACGTGGCGCGGGGCGGGGTCTGGTAGACAGGAAGTGTGTGTGCCCCTCGGCGATGGCAGTTCCTGCTGGTGTTCTGCCCATGGTCTCTCAGCCACTGCTCGCCAGCTGAGGGTGGCTTTGTGTGGTCACTCGTGTACGGCCACCTGAGGGCCAGCGCTCATGTCTGCGAGTCACCAGGTAGCACGGCTCCCGACTGGCAAAGCGGGAAGGCGGGTCAGGCCGCCGGCTGCACAGCTGGGGCTCCCCGGGCACCCCACCCCACACACGCGACCAGCAGGCCGAGGCAGTGTGTGGCTGGCTGGCGGTGGCCTAGGCCAGAGTGCGCATAGCTCACAGGGGCGGGAGTCAGCGTCAGCCCGGCCCAGGCCGAGAGGCTGTCTGACAGGTGGACACAGTGTGTGACCGGAGCAGAGGCTGGCACAGGGTTCAGGGAGCATCCTGCGTGCTGGTCCCTCCTGCCTGGGCCGAGGGAACGGGGACCTTCCAGGCCAGTCCTGGCTTTCTGACAGGGTGGCATATCTCTCAGGAGCAGAGACTCAGGGTCAGAGAGTGTCACGACCTGCCCGCTCACCCACTCCGAGTGGTGCGTCCGAGGACATCAGCGGAGCCCCCGGGTGTCCCCAGCCCCTCCTGTGTGCTCTGCCCTGGGGGAAGCTGGGAGCTTCCCTGTCCAGGGCCTCTGGGAACAGCCCCACAGCACCGCAGGGCCCCCCAAAGTGCACAGTGTATGCGTATGGCATCCGTGCCTGCGCTCCAGCCCCAGCCCGGCCCGGCCAAGAGCCCAGGTTTGGGGCCTGTCCTGCCCATTCCCAGGACACCGCGGCCCTGCCTGGCACTAGTCACGCCCAGCACGGAGCCCAGAGGCCCAGCTCACGTCGCCTTTTAAGGCAATGGTGCTCTGGGAGAAGCCGGAGGGAAAACATTTTCCTGGCGTTCGGGGAGCATTTTTCCTTCCTGTTTCTCTTAAATAAGCCACCAGCAACTTTTCAAAACAGAACAGAAAAAGGACAAGGTCAGGGAGCTGCAGAGGTCGGTCACCTCTGTGGGACAGCCCCCACGTGAGCCTCGCCAAGGCTGCGGGCGGACTGCCACAGAGGGTCCTTAGGGTAGCGACGTCCAGCTCGGTCGGCAGTGCATTTCCATTTGGGCAGTGGGGACGGGGACAGAAGCCGGGAGCGACCGAGTTTGCCTCTGCTGGTCTGCGGACCTCGACGGGGCGAGCCGGTGGGGCCCGGCCAGCACTGACCACGGCCCTCCCGGTTTGCAGGCGTCGGGGCCGAGGCGAGCAGCCCTCAGTGCGGCGGGCCCGACGTCAGAGCTCGCCGGCCGGCCCTGCAGGGGTGCGCCCGCCGCCCCACAAGGCTGTCCTTCTGGCCTGTGGCTCCTCCTCAAGGCGGCCCACTGGGTGCTTTATGCCCACCCTCAGTCACCCTCTGTCCAGGGGAAGGGGCCTTTTCTGGATGACCCCTCTCTGAGTGTCACCCAGGCAGCCTTTCCTGGACGGTGAGACTTCACGAGGGTGTTGGTCTGCTGTTTGTTTTCACAAAGTCGTGGTGTTGGCCATTAAAGAAGCCAGTTCACAGAGGAACCAAGGCTCTATGCTGTGATGTGAAGAATCTTCCCTTCGGGCGTCCCGGCCGTCCCCCAGGAACCCAGTTTTAAACATTAAAACATCGGCAGCCTTGCTCCGCGCCAGCCCCCGGAGATGGACGGGCGGGAGAGGTCCCAACGCCCAACCTGGACGCTGGTGCTCCTCTGGGGGGCGGGGGGCCTACGCCAGGGGCTCTTTGCTCCAAGGCACGTTCTGCCCGGGCGGGCCCCTGTGTATGACAGTGACCTGGACCAAACCCGCCCGGGCCCGCGTTCCCAGCTGGAGCTCTCGATCTTGGGCAGTTTTCCTTCTTGGGGGACACACCAGGCCTGCCTCAGCCACATGCCACCCCCGGTGCGACCTGGGGCAGCCCACGGAAGGCGGTTCTGGGGTGGCGGGGTCGCCCCCCTCGGGATGAGGCTGCTCACCGCACAGCTTTGGCTCCTGGGGTTTAGCTGCTCAGGTTCACTGTGTTCGAACAGAACCATAGACGTTCAGAAGCGTGTTTTCATTAGTGTAAAAATAGCCACAACAGTCCTTCCGCGTTGAACGACAGCACATTTTTATGGAAAACAACTGTTTTCCTAAACAAGGAAAACACTTAGCAAGCAGTGGCTGTTCCTGCAAATCTCTCTCGTCTGGCTCCCACCCTCCTGTCCCTGGAGACCCACACCGTGCACTGGGAGGGAGCGTGGGCCGGGGGACGGGTGTCGTGCGGCGGCCTGGGTGGCGGGGCCTAAGGGGCATCGGCGCATGGTTGGTGCTCAGCTAAGTGCAGCCTTTGGGTCGTGCGCACGGGACACACGCACGCCTGCCCGGTGGGACTCTGCTCAGTCTGCCGGTGATCCCCGTCTGTCCTGCTCGGCGGTCCTGCCTTGGTACCAGGCCCCACGTGTAGGCCAAGCGGGCTGCAAGGCCACAGTGTCACACACAGGGGTGCTGACCAGTGGGGCCACCACCCAGCCTTCGCGGTCCCAGAGTTCCAGGTTTGGCCCTGTGAGACCAGGCCTCCTCTGGTGTCTCTGCACCTGCTGTCCCCCTCGCAGTGGCAGCACGGCTCTGCCGGTTAGGACACAGGCCCCTGAGCATGGGGACAGCACGGACACAGGGCAGCCTTCTCCCTCGCCTGGCACCTGGCAGCTGGCGGGAGCAGAACCTTTTGAGGCATCTCCGGGAGACCCCCTTGGTGTCCCATTGGCCTGGCAGGGACAGCTTCGCTCGTGTCCGGGGACCTGGCCGTGGCCCCCACGCCTGCGCTTCCCGTGCGGTGACCCATGCTCCCTTCTTTCCACAGGAAGTCCAAAGCGAAGCCCAACGGGAAGAAGCCAGCGGCGGAGGAGAAGAAGGTGTACCTGGAGCCGGAGCACGCTCAGTCCAGGATCACCGACTGCGAGTTCAAGGAGCTGGTGGTGCTGCCCCGCGAGATCGACCTCAACGAGTGGCTGGCCAGCAACAGTGCGTGGGGCGGGCGGGGCCCCCTCCATGCCCTCCAGTTCCTCGGGGATCCCCAGAGCTCCATTTGCGCAGGGCGTGCTGCCGCGTGGCCCGGGTCTGGGCTGTCCCCGTCAGCTGGAAGCGGAGGGGCGGGGTGGCCAGCCCTGCACGGGGGACTCGGTGCGGGTCCTGCCCGCTGTGGGGGCCAGGACGCCCATGCCAGGGAGAGACTGTGATGGGGGTGTGGCTGTGAGGCCGGCAGTGCCACGGCTATGGGAAGGCCGTGGCCCGTGGACGGGGCAGCAGCCGTCACCCCACCCTCTGTGCAAGCCTGGGCTCAGGGCTCAGAGTGCCAGGGCTCAGACTTCCCTGGTGGCAGAGTCCCACAGGGAACTGGTTCTTTGAAGGGGGTGGGCTCTGGGCAGGGGCTAGAGCTGCTTTTGGTTTAGTGGGTGCCCAGGGGCACCCCGGACGCAGCTGGTGTTGGTAAGAGCGGGGCCCTGAGTTTGAGGGGCCCTGGCCTCTCACTGAGATGGGACGTGTGCCCCACCCTTCGTGCGAGGGCTGCAGGCCAGCACCCCAGGCCCATGCGGTGCACCGGGCCTTCGTCTCCAGTCTGTGGAAGGTGGAGGCCGCCCCAGGGTTCGGGGACCGAGCACCGTTCCCCTGAGGTGGCGGTCACACCTGGCCCTTCTCTCTTGCAGCCACGACGTTTTTCCACCATGTCAACCTGCAGTACAGCACCATCTCGGAGTTCTGCACGGGGGAGGCGTGCCAGACCATGGCCGTGTGCAACACGTAAGTGCTTCCTGGCCGGGGCCGGGCCCCGGGCGTGCGGGCAGCAGGGCCCATAGGCCTGCTGCAGCTCTGCCCTCTGCTCAGATTCCCTCGCACTATGTCCTGTGGGGTTTCCCGACCATGGGGCCTTCCTCAGCGGGGGCCTGCCCCCCTGGCGCCCTGGGAGACCCCCTTGGTGTCCCAGGGCCTGCAGAGAACAGGAAGCGGAGCTCAGCCAGGGAAGGGACTCTGGCCTCGTGGGTCCTGTGGGGGCACAGAGCGCCGGGAGCCAGGCAGAGGCCACGAGGCTGTGTTCCTAGGGACAAGGCCGTCTCACCCGGACACACTGGCTGGCTCCCTAAGACAACAGAGCCCCGTGAATCTGCAGGTGCTTCCCTGCTCCAGCTACTTGTCCCCGAAGCCAAGGCTCTCCCTCAGAACTCCTGCTCTGCCGGGGGCGGGGGGGATGGGAGGAGGCCGCCTTGTTGGCTGCTTGCTTGGGGTTGGGGTGCCTTCTTGGTGGCCTCCGGCAGGCCTGCTCTTGGCCGCTCGGCTCCGACAGCGGGTGCGTGTCCTCCATGAGCAGCCGTCCCCGAGGACCCCGGGCCCCTTGACAGCTTTGCAGCAGCTCCTGAGGGCAGCGTCGGTAGGACACCGTGTGGCACAGGCTTGCCACCGGCTCGAGTAGCAGAAGCGCCGGAAGATGGACACATGCAGGCAGAAGGCTGGGTGGCCGAGGAGTGGCACGGCACGGGAGCTCTCCGCGGGCTCCTCTTCGGGGTCAGAGGACGGACACAAGCGCGTGTGAACCGGGAGCCTCTGCTGGTGACCACGTGTGCGTGTGCCGTCCTGACTGCACCCTGCCCAGGCGCCGCTGGCCAAGCTTCCTTGACCCAGCTCGGACCCAGAAGCGGAGCTCTGCGCCCGCAGAAAGCCGCCTGAAACCCTCGGCACTGCAGATGACACGGTGCCCCCTCGGCCCTCCGCCCCTGGGCCTGCTCTCATGGCCCCAACGGGTCACAGTTCAGGGCTGCGTCACGTGGGAGCAAGTGCAGACGACAGCAGCTGTCTATTCCGTATCGGTCTAGGAAGAGCCACTGACGGAACGCTGAGGTGTCACGTGCGTCCCCAGCTGGCCACCGTGAGGCATGGCCCAGGGGAGCACGGGACAGCTCAGGGCGAGCAGTGTAGGGAGCAAGCTCACGGTGCGCCAGGGCAGGACGCCCACGTGGGGCGGAG